AACATAAATTATACGATATATGAGAATAAATAAATTAAATGCTTTGGAATTAAAACATGTTTTTCTTGTTATATATCGAAGTTTATTTTAAAATAATAAAAAATAACGTTGATTTAATTATTAATTAGATGAGTGATTTCTTTACTGCTTGTTGACTCTTCAGCGCCCTGTAGAAATAATTTTGACTCTAATAATAAATCTTTTATTTTAAAAAACACCATTTGCTCGATATAATATCATATTTTTATAAATAAAAAATAATTACCACACTAAAATATGTATATAGTTATCTTTGATCATAGCTTAATATCAACTATAATCATCAGCTCGAGATTTTCAATATTATAATTTTCACACTTAAATAATCTAAACACAAGCTATCAATTCATACGTTGAAAATACATATCTAAATCGTGCATCGCAGGTTTTCATATACAACGAAAAATAGCTCGAATCATATTTCCATTGGCCGGTAACCGGATATATCCTCTGATCTTGATTGCTGTAATTACATGCATAATTATTAGAAAAATGAAGTAAAATTGTTGTCTTTGCAAATAGTTTAGTATTGATCACATTTGTTGAAATCAAGAAAACTGATTTTTCTAATGTCCTGCTTTAACCAGTAGAATTGCATGTTTCAACTCGATACTATGCCAGTAACATTTTCTTTATATACTATTTTTATCAATGCGACAAATTCAACAGTTATATTTTTGATCAATTCTTATGGGAAGTAGTAAAACTAGGCCAATTAATTTTGAGTCCACAGGGCGATCGTTATAGCTTTTGACTCTATGCATGCAACTATCATGATTGTTATTATTATTTCGTTTTTATTAAAATGCCAAAACAAAAATAGGAAATGATCATTTTTTGATTTAACAGCACAATACTGCTGGAGGGTTTGTGTCTTAAAAGTAGAATATGTCACAATAATATAGATATTTGATAAGTCTAAACAGCATTCGATTCTATATCGAGTATGCAACTCAGTACGAATAGCTTTTGCGCAAAAGATAATAGAATTTCACGGTAATAAATTTTTTTTTCTGTCACTTTGATTAATCAATTGGTCCAAGTTTGATTGGAACTGACGATTGCAACAAGCTAGTAGTTATCAAAACTATTCTATTAGCAAAGCAAACAATAATCTGTTTTTTGATAACTACTACTGATGGATTCTATGAGTTATTCATTATTCAAACGGTAATTGCAACAAAAGACCGATGATTTAGTTTATTTCCAAAATAATTACATTATTAAATTAAATTTGTTTAGCAAAGAAATGTAGAGATCTGATTACACTGTTGATTACCTATTGTTTTTACGAATATTATTTATTTTAATTTTTAATTTTTAATTTGTAAATTAATTTTTCTTTTGTTAACAACAAGTGAAGTTTTCAAAACATCGAATACAATAAAGCAAATCACAATCGCACACATAAAGTTTTGAAATTTCAGTAGGTATCCGATTGAATGTAAGAAAATTAATTTTTACATCAATTATGAAAATATAGTTTTTCATAAAATGTTTTCTCTAATAACAATAATAAAGAGCATTGTAAAATAAAGTGCGATTGCAAATGGATATTATTCTCACAAGGACTAGTTTACTTTGTTTTCAGTTGGTAAAATGAAATGAAATGGTGCTTGCTAATAGTATATGAAGGAGATCCTTCAAACTCACTGGATATCGAACTATTTTTAAATCAACCACATCTACTATCAAGTAATAATAAATGTAGAAACATCGGATTTAAATCCGACTGTTATGTGTACTTCAAAAATTAAAACTAATTGATGATAAATTGATTTTGATCAACCTATCTAAGAAAATAAAGAACAAAGTGAATATACTTTTTCACTTTTTGAAGTACTCATAACACTCGGATTTAAATCCGAGGTTTTCGCATTTATTATATAAGACATAGATCCCATCAAGATATTTCCCTTTTCACTAAATTGCAAGGAGAAAATACAGACGTGCTAAGTTAACATTGACCACACTGTATGTGACCCTATCCGGTGACCAATGATTCTATTCTCAGAGTGATATAATATCTGTAGAAATCACAAAAATTGAATTCAGATTCGTGTTTAGCTTGGAAAACTGGGTAAGAAGAGTTATTTTTGAATGGATTTACATTTGTATCTAGTGGGATTACGATCGTAAGCAACCTCATGAACCTATAAGAGATATATGATAGATATAGGCATCAGTATTTTCCTAATAAATCACCAATATTAATAGCTATCGAGTTCGGATTTTTACGTTTCGATAGTCTTGTTGCCTAGCTACAAAGCCAGGCATTTGGAAAATTCCAAAACTACTGGTCATCTGAGGCATATCTAGGCAATTTGGCTTCTGAATGCAGTTTTTGTTCATTTTGAGACCTTTTCTCAGGCGATGTTTTGTTAGAAAACTACGATTTGGTTCAAAAAAACTAATATCACATTCGGAATCAGTGTTAAAAACTGAGTCGATTTATATATGCTGTGAATAATTTTGAAAAAAATTGTTTTTGAAAAAGCCTCTGTACCCCCACCG